CGGCCGCCTGCTGTATATGCAAAAAGGACCCCGCCCCGCCCCACAGGCCACGCCCAATCCCGAACAACCCCGCCTTCTCCGGTGCAGCCACCGCCCCGCCACGCCCACTGGCCAGCCCGGCAGTCTCTCCCGCCGGTTCGTTTAGGCCTGGGTTCTCTTGCCTTCTGTGACCTCTGACTCAGATCCCCTTCAGTTCTGCGTCCGAAAGAATTGCTATAGGAGGCGACTTGCCGCCCCCTGTCCCCAAATCTTGCTAACCCTACGATTCTCCCATCACGGCGGGGGCGGGCAGAAGCGGTGACGAGGCACTTTTGCATGAAGGGGAGGGGGAATGAACAGACCCCGGCATCCAGGAGCGCGATCAGTTTGGCTTGCGGGGCTGGGGCGCGGAACTGGGACTTGGGCGCGGTTCTGGCCGCCTCTGCGTCCCCACTCCCACCCCCACCCAGTGCGCTTGGCAAAGCAGCTGGCAGGGGCATTAGGGCCCATTAGCAAAGGCGAGGTTGCTGGAAGCAAGGGAAGGAGCCTGAAGCTGGGAGGGCAAGAGATGTGTGTGTGTGTGTGTGTGTGTGTTGGGAGGGGCGCTTCTCAGCTGCCACAGCCCTTGAGCAGGTGGTCAGCACGTGTGGGGGTAGGGGGGAGAAGGAGGTTCCCAGCAACAGATGGCCTAGGCAGGGCTGGGGCTTTCAGACAAGGGGTTTTTGGGGGGGTGACCATCTGCACCTGGAGGCCGCCTGTGAGCGCCTCCCCTTCAACGCAGAGAAAAGAGCTGGGGAAAGGGGAGGGCTGCTTTTATTTGGAGGGAAGTTTCACCCCCGCCCCCCCCACTCCCACCCTCCAGTACACAGGCTGGGATAGAGAGAAGGCAGCTGGTGGAGGCGTGAGGGAGGCAAAGGTGAGGGGAGCTCAACCATCTCTCCACCACTGGATCTTGGGAGTCCCAAGTGGAGATGAGGAGTACCCCCTCTAGATGAGTCTGGTCTCCATGAAAGGCATGCAGGGGCCACGGGCTCCCTCAGATGTGCGCTGAAATCAGTTAAAGGGTTCCCTGGCCTAGAGTTCCTGGGTGCTCAGTTCAGACCTGGGAAGAGCTATGAAGTTGGGAGTTCCCTAGCCCCAGGGTCCTGGAGTTCCTGAGCCAACAGGGGGAGCCAGGCAAGACTAGAAGCTCAGGGGGAGCTCCCCAGGGAAGAGGGGTGGATAAAGGGGAAAGGGATGGCCTGCTGTGGAGCTGGAACCCCAGATGGAGGCTGTCATAGGGTCTGCACGGAGGGCCCCTCTGGTCAGGAGGCTGCTGGCAGTGGCTGTGCCTGGCGACTGGCCCAGTATCGGTGGTAGGTGTCCTGGAAGAGGTCCCGGCAGGCAATGTGGGCGTCGAGACGGGCACAGGCCAGAAAGGCCCCTGCCAGTTTGCGATGCAGGGCGTAGGTCTCCTCGGGTGGTGGGCGCAGGCGGTGCTGCAGCAGGACAGGGATGAGACCCTGTATACGGCGGGCAGTGTCCCCAGCCCCGAAATCATAGGGACCAGGGGCAGCAAAGGGCTCCCCGAGGATCATCACTGCTTCCACATGGGCGTCGGAGAATGCCTAGGGGTGGGGACAGCAGATGCACCCAAATGGACACAGTGCTTTCTGCTCACTTATCCCAGAAGTGACTACCTCAACTCCCTGCTCTCAGGTATAAACAAGCCCCCAACTCCCCCAAGAGTAATAAGCAGCTTCCACCCCTTCCAAAGCCCTAGTAGGCAGCAGCCCACTTTCACTCTACATGACCTTTATTTATTTATTTATATGTGGTGCTGAGAATTGAACCCAGTGCCTCACGTCTGCTAGGCAAGCACTCTACCACTGAGCCACAACCCCCGCCCCCTTTACTCTAAACAAACAGTCCTGGCCTCTTCTCAGAGCCTCCTAAATAAGCAGCCCTCCATTTCCTGCCCTGTATTACGCGTTAGCAGTAAGCCCAGGACAGATAGGTGGTACCTGTTTTCCAGGGGTTCCCGAGTAGTCAGGCAGCTGCATCCTCCACTTTTCCCCAGACCCCCCCCATATCGATAGGCATCCCCTAAAGTTGTCCAGTCCCCTAGACATATAATCTCCATTCTCCCCAGGAAAGATAGACCCCCTCCCCTCCCCACCATCCCCAGTTCCTCAGTAGGGACAGGCTGATCCCCGTTACTTGTTCCCCAACAGACACCAACCCCCTGTAACTCCCATGTCTCCCAACCTTGGTTTCGAATCCTGTGAGGAATTTGAGGTCCTGGGATTTCTGCAGGACCTGGTCTCGGTTTCCCTCTGCAGCAGCCTTCACCACCTGGAAAGATGGGGGTGGGGCAGGGAACAGAGGCCAATGGGGGATTAAGGGAGTTCTAGAGAAAAGGCACCACCTGGTTCAGCCTGGCCAACCAAGGTCTACCTCTTTTCTCACCTTCCTGGGCCTTCCCTCTCACCTGAAAGCTTCTCCCTCCCCATTCTGCCCTTCGGTGTCCCCTTCAAGACTGTTCTAGAGCCTGGCAGGTAGTTGATTAGGGGTTCTGCGCATCTGGCTGGGAGTGCAGAGCTGCCTGGAGGCCACCATAATGAAATGGCACAGGGGAGAGTGTCATGGGTCCAAATACAACTGGACGAGGATGTGACTGTGACCCCAAACTGTGTCCAAGGTTGCCAGGATGCCATCTCTACATCTCTTGCACTAGATTTTAAGCCCAGTGGGCACAGGGATCCCAGCTGGGTGTAGCTGCACTGGACGTGGGGCCTGGTACTCAGGCTGCCTTGGTGAACCTTGCTTTAGCAAATCAGTGTGTGGAGCTAAGGCCCTGTCCAGCCATGTGCTCACACAGGGAGGCCAAGAATCCCCCAGCCCCACCAGGACCAGCCTGCTTGGGCTCACTCCCAGCTCTGCCTACAGGTCACCTGCTGGAGGCCACTTTGCCCTTAGGCCTCTGCTTCCTCACCTGAGATGGGGATGGGGAGTTTCTTCCTCATGGGGTTGTTGTGAGGTCAAGGACTGTTCCCCCCACCGTGCAGTGCTCGGCTCAGCACTGTGCCTGCACAGAGGACGCATCATACAGATCCTGAGCTAGTCTTCTTATTAGGAGCTGGCTGCGAGGGTCCCTGCTGTATAGAAGATGGACCCTGGGTTCAGCCCTCCCCTGCTGGGTTGCTTTCTTGCAGGGAGGAGGAACATGGGATTCATCTGGCTGTTCTATTCTGTCTCAGCTCCCCTTGCCCATGCCTGTCTGACCATCTGTCAGGTCTTGGTCTTCAGGGGCCCATGTGACAGGGCTTTTGTAAACTGGAAAAGGCTAAGTAGGCCTGGGGGGCAGCGGCAGGTGTTGGTGGGAAGCGGGATATTCCAACTACACAGAGAGGCCTTGGCTTGGGGCCTCAAGTGCCCAGCAGAGAGGGCCCCAAGAGGCCTGGTGGGGAAGTGTTTACCAGCTCAAGGGTGGCCTCAGGAGTTCCCAAGGCAGTGCCATGGGCTGGTCACAGTCACCTCCCTCTCCTGACTTCTAGCTGGTCAGCTCCCATGGACTGTCCATTAGGCAGCCCTCCCAGTGGCTCCTCTGCCCCTCTCCCCACCCTCCTGGGCTCACAGCACTGTCTTAGAGACCCCTTGTTAGTGGGAGTTCTCCGATTCTAACTGTGGCCCTCCTGCTCAGTCTCTCCCAGCTCCCCGGGGCACAGGCCTAAAGTATAAGCTGCAAAACTGGCTTGAGACCTGGAGTAATTTGCCTCCACACTGCCACCCCCAACCAAACACAGACCTGAGTTCCCTTTGGTCCTCTAGGGCCTGCCACGCAAAATGAAGTCCCTGTACAGGCAACATTGACACCATCTGGAAGCTTGTGGGAGATGCAGCATCTTACATCTAAATCCAGACCACAAGCTGCATTTCACAGGACCGCCAGGGTTTAACTGGATCGCTACCTGCATATTGATGTCCAGAAGCACTGTCCCAGTGGAGCTATGCTTTGCTGCCTCTTGACTGTGCACATGTGTATCTGGAATACCCAGCCTCTTCCTGGATGGCTGTCCTCATCCCCCAGGTCTCCAATTCCAAAGTCTCCTCCTCCAGGAAGGCTTCCCTGATTCCCCCATAGCAGGTCAGACTCCCCCTCTGGGGCACCCACAGTTCTCTGCATTTCCTCCAGCTCAGCCCTGATCCCTTTGGGTCCTTACTGTCTGGTCAGTGAACAGTAAACTCTATGAAGATGGGGACCTAAGTTGGACCTGGGTGGCTATTGTGTCCAGTATTATCCCTGAGCATAGAGAAGGTGCCAGAAAATGTTTGAATTGATGGTTAGATGATTCCAAGACCCAGGCTGAATGTTCAATCTCAACTAATTAATGAAACGGTGTTCTGTGTGGCCTCTGAGACAAATTGAGCATCAGCAAGAGATAGGCAACATAGATGTGGGGCACAGGCTACCAGGGAGTTCTGGGACTGCAGGCTGGGCACTGAGGATGTGGACCAGATGGCCATCATGGACCCTTCTCCTAAGGGGGGGTAGGTACAGGTTGGGAACATGGGCTCTGAACCCAGACCATCTGAGTGTGACTCCCAGGTCTGTTGGTATCTTTAGCCAGCTCTCTAATGGGGCTAAAAGTGGTCTTGATCATAGAATTGCTGTATGGTTTCTAATCAGTCTACTACGTAAAATCCTTAAAATAGTGCCTGATGTAAAATTAAGGGCTTGGTAAATAGCTGCTCTTAATAGTATCATTATTTCTTCATTCTAGACCCTCTATTTCTCCTTCTTACCCCTTTACCTCAATGGCTGGGTTGAACCTTGAACCTTCAGAGGCCCCAGGGTCAGGGCAATTCCTCACCTCAATATAATGATCTGTGAACTCTGTCCCAAATTCTCGGCTTGCACCAAAGTCCAACAAGGTCACCTGGGAATGAAGAGTGATAAGAGGAACACTGGAGCCCACCAACACCCCCATGGGGGCAGGTAGGACCCATCTCTCCCTCCCGCAGATCTCCTGGCTCCTGCTAGGGTCCCTGCCCAGCTGCCTCCAGGGCTCTTTGCCTCTGGACTCCATACTTCCAAGCCACCCTGAATGGTAACTTTTATTTTTTTGGTCCACAGGATGTTCAGTAAAGGGCTCAGTCTTGATCTGGAGGGCCCTGGGGCCTGAGGAAGGGAAACTGTGGCTAGATTTTATTTGGAAAAGATCCCTCTGGGGACAGACCACTTTGGAGAGTCAACTGGGCAACTTCTAGTGAAAGCAAAGATGTGTCCACAAACAGAAAAAATCTGCAGGTCTAAACTCTCACCTTGAAGCCTTTTTATACCCTCCTGCTCCCTGCATGGCTATCTTCTTCTCTCTCTGGTCTCAGAATTAATGGCACTTCCTTCATGAAACCTTGTCTTACCCCTTGCTGGGTCAGGCATATCCCTGGAGTCCCACATCTCCCTCCCTAGTCCCCGTCATTCCAGCCCTGACCACCACTAGTGTCCTAGTGGTCACTCTGCTTCTCTATTGTGGCACTAATTCCTCTAGGGCATCATCAATGGAATGGCAGAGGAAATGCCATGTCACTTGGCCAAGGCAGGTAGGCAGGAGATTAGACTCTCAACCCCCTCCTTCCACTGGTAGCAGAACATGGCAAGGCCTAGCAGAAGGCACGGCCACAAAAGGGGAGAAGCGTGGCCTGAATCACTGTGCTCAGAAGGACCATCCCAGCCTGCTGCGTGAGCAATGAACTACAAGTGTGTTCATTGGCTGAAATATCAGGGAATATCTGTGATGGCAGCTAATGTACCCCCACTCTCACCAGAAGGAACCAACCTGGTGGCTGGAGGCATCATACAGGAAGTTGGCCCAGTTGGGGTCCGTCTGCATGAATCTGAACTCAAACAGCTCCCGAAGACACAGCCTCAGGAGCTGGAAGCAGATCTGGGGTAGGGAAAAGACACCTCAACGGATATGACCCTGTGCAAAGTCCTCCCTGGCCTGAAGAGGGAGCGAGGGCCTGGCCCTCCCTACTGCCCCACAAGGCAATTACCTGGTTCCGGACATCCTGACTCAGTCCCTGGCACTGATCCAGAGGGACACCTCCGGCCAGCTCCATGCCCAGCACCCGCCTCGTGCACAGCTCCTTAACCACAGCTGGCACCCGGAAGAAGGGGTCATCTGCCAACAGCTGCCTATGGCAGGAGGAAGGGAAGGAATGAAGTTTTTTTTTTTTTTTTTGCTCAGGACCCTGAGTCCTGGTTTGAGCAGGCCTCCGAGATGTCCTTCATGAAGCTCTTCTCTAAGCTTTTCCTTCTCTCCTGGGCTACTCTGGCCTTGGTCTGCCCTGGGTGACAGCCAACACCTGACCAGACTGACATTTAGCCAATACCTCTGTAGTCTAATAGCTTGTCCTTTAACCGGGTATTGCTGGAGATCATCTACCACTTCCCTACTGGAAACTCTTCTCTGACTTCTGGTTGTCCCAGGATAAACTCAGTGTATTTAGCTTCTGCACTACCATTTAAAAATCATTTTATTAATTCATCCCCAAGATCGTCACTGATTATCTATCGTCACTGAATATGTATCTTCTAAGACCACTGAGTATCTTTAGTGATACTCATAGGTCACTCCTTAAGAGTAACTACAGGAGTGCCCCCTAATGTTTTTTGGTGGTACTAGGGGATTGAACCCAGGGACAATCTTCTACTGAGCCATATCCCGGTCCTTTTTTTCAATTTTGATACAAAGTCTCGTTAAGCTGCCCCAGGCTGGCCTGGAATTTGCAATCCTCAGGTCTCAGCCTCCAGAGTTGCTGGGATTACAGGTGTGCACCACCCCAACTGGCAGGAGTCCCTCCTTAATTTGTGGTTTAATTTCCCAAGGTTTCAGTTACTTGCAGTCAACTATGGTCTGAATGAAAAATTCCATAAGTAAACAATTCACAAGTTTCAAACTGCATACCATTCTGATTAGTGTGATAAAATCTCACTCCATCCTGCCTGGAACATGAATCATCATCTTGTCTAGGGTATACACACTGTATATACTACCCGCCCGTTAGTCATTTAGTAACCATCTCAGTTATCAGATTGATTTTCATGGTATCGCAATGCTTATGTTCAAGTAACACTTAACAATGGCCCCAAAGCAGGAGTGATAATGGCATTTCAGATATGCCAAAGAGAAGTATAAAGTGCTTTTCTCTGAGCCAAAAGCTCTTGACTTAATAAGGAAAGAAAAAAAAAATCCTAGGTTGAAATTGCTAAGATCTATGGTAAGATCAAATCTGTGAAACTGTGAAGAAGAAAAAAGAAATTCATGTTAGTTTTGCTGTAACACCTCAAACTGTAAAAGTTGTGGCCACAGTGCATGATAAGTAGTTAGTTAAGATGGAAAAGGCATAAATTTGTGGGTGGAAGATTTGAATAGAAGTGTTTTGACTAATGGCTCCATGTTGCTTCAGAAAGTGCTGCGCCTAAGCTAGACTTTACCTATGGGTGTGCACAGCTGATGTATGGTTTGGGACTATCCAGTTTCAGGCATCCACTGGGGGTCTTGGAATATGTCCCCTGTGGATGTGAGGTCGGGCTGTACTCTGAACATTGGTAAATAAAGGGAAGGAATCCTTCTCTGCTTTTGTGCTGCCCAGTGCTGGGGGAAGATCAGTGACTGAGCCAGTGCTGGCCTGCCCAACCAGAGCTCACACCCTAAAAGACAACAATAGATTGAGAAAAATGTGTCAAATTAAGAGTTGGGAGGCAAATATGAGTGAAGCCTCTCATTGAGGACACGTGGTTTGACGGAGAGTAAGGACCAGGCAGATGGGCAGAGGCTAGGGGAATGAGGTGGATTTTTCCCCTAAGGGCCCTGGGGAATCCTGTGGGAGAAGGGTATTCTCAGATCCCACAGGGGTGTGCTCTGCCTCCTCCTCCTACTTTGCATGCCCATCTTACAAGCTGATATGTTTGTCCTTGTTTGTAAGATTTCTGATATTTGAACCACTTCTGAAGAGCCAGGCCCTGTGCTGAGCACTTAATCAGCACAAGTCCTTTTTTTTTTTTTAATCCTGGGGATTGAACCCAGAGGAACTTTACCTCTGTGCCACATCCCCAGCCCTTTTTATTTTTATTTGCTTAGGGTCTTGCTAAGTTGCTAAGGCTGGCCTTGAACTTGTGATCCTTCTGCCTCAGCATCCTGAGTTGCGGGAATTACAAGTGTGTGCCTCCGTATCTGGCTAGGACAAATCCCTTTTATTATTACCATCCAGTGAGGACACTTTTCTGAGGTCCTGTGTAGAAGCAGCCCAGTCTGGTAAGGGCTTACCCAAAACTGGATCCCATTCCTATTTGAGTCTGGGGCACATGTTCCAAAACACTGCCTTCTGCCGACTCCTGCCTTCTAAGCTTGGTACATTGTAGACCTTCAGTAAATGTGTGAGCCCCACTGTGTGTGTGGGGGGGGTGTCATTAATTGTTGCACATCACCAAACTTCCAAGATATAGCCACATTGTCCTATATAACTGTAGTTTGTTCATGTTCACTGTTATCTATGCTACTGATGAATACATCATAATTTGTTTATCTGCCCTGCTGAATAGATTCAATATTTGGGTTGTTTCCAGTTTGGGAATCTTAGAAACTATGCTGCTCTAAGCGTTCTAGAAAAGTCTGATAGTGTATAATGGCATGAGTATCCCTATAGTATTCAGCAAGAAGCAATAGCTAGGTTGAAGGTGTGAATACAAAGGTTTATTGGATGGTGCCAAAGTGTTCTCCAAAATAGCTATTTCAAGCAGGGTACACATCTCTATCTCAGTGATCTGGGAGGCTGAGATAGGAGGACTGCAAACTTGAGGTCAGACTTAGCAACTTAACAATGCTTTGTCTCAAAATACAAAATAAAAAGGGCTGGGGATTGGGCTAGTGATATAGCTCAGTTGGCAGAGTGCTCACCTTGCTTTCACAAGGCCCTGGGTTCAATCCCCAGCACCACACAAACAAAAAGGACTGGGGATGTAGTAAGGGCTCTGTAGTAAAATGCCTTGGGTTCAATCCCTTGTACAAAAATGCTTCTATCAATATCTCCTCCTGCCCACAGTGGGTAAGGGAGGCTCTGAAGTCCAATCCTCTCCAATGTTGATGCTGCCAAATGGTTCAATTTTGGTCAGTCTGGCAAGACGCCATGGCACACACCTGCAATCTCAGTGACCCAGGAGGCTGAGGCAACAGAATCACAAGTTTGAGGCCTATCTTAGCAATGTAGCAAGGCCCTCAGCAATTTAGCAAAATTAAAAGGGGGGGTGGCAGGGGACATGGCTCAGTGGTAAAGCACCCCTGGGTTTAATCTCTAGTACCAAAAATAAACAAGAAAAACTTTGGTAGTCTAGTGGGTATGTTAAGTACCTATGTCAGACCACAGTGGATCCACATCCTGACACTCAGCGAGAAGTGATCTGTTCACACTCACAGTGGACACAAGGGAACACGTGAAGGAGCAATAGAAGAAAAAGAGTTTGCTGGTCAAACCCCAGGGTTCCAGCTGCCAGAGGCTGGGGGACATCCATTTCTGACTCATGTTGGGCAGGAATGAAGGAAGGAAAAAGGATAGAAGGAAGGGGCCCCCGGGGCCTTCAGGAGTCAGCTCACCTGAAGTTCTGGGCACAAGCCGCCTCCCGACGGTAGTCACACTCCCACGTCAGCTCCTGCTGCAGGGCCTGTAAGCTCTGCTCCGCAAACAGGCCTGAGAGGCAGCCATGTCAGTCAGGAAAGGCCACGGCCTGCGTCCCCTGCCTGAGTCCTGGGGCTCCCAGGAACAGGTGCCTTCCCTGGCCAGTTATGCCACCCTCCCTCTGTCCCTCTCTCTGTCCCTTACACCTTCTATCCCAGATCTTTCACCTACATCACTTTCTGGGCACTTTTTCCTATCTTTCCCACAATTGTGGTCTGTGTGTGCACGCACGCACGTGCTCTGCAGAGAAAACCCAAGGCCTTGCTCCTGGCACAAAATAGGCAAATGCTCTATCATTAAGTCATATCATTTTTTTGCAGATTGAACCCAGGGGCACTTACCTTTGTGCTACATCCCCAGTCCTTTTTATTTTGAAACTGGGTCTCACTAAGTTGCCCAGGTTGGCCTCAAACTTGCAATCACCCTGTCTCAGCCTCCAGAGTGGCATGTGTCACCGCACCACTTGTGGTCTCCCCTGGGTACAAAATGTACCCATGCAAACCCCAACTCCACGGCAGCTCCTCCACGGTCCCGCAGTGCACTGTGCTCACACTCCCACATTTCTCCTTGCCTCTCCCTTCTAGGCCTGCCTCCTGCTCTCCCTCTCTCACACGAGCCTCCTGCTCCGTCTTCTGCAGGCACCATCTCCTATGCTCCAACAACAAGCTGTCCCGCTCGCTCTCCCTTTCTGCTTCTGCGGCTTTTCTGTGCCTACAGCTGGTGTCCCCACACTGATCACCCTGTGTATTTCTGGGATTTTGGTCCAGGCTTCGTCTCTTTGTGGCTGTGCCACAGACTCTGCTCTCTGGACTCTCCCTGCTCAGCATCCTCCTTCCTGTTGCTTACACACTAGTATGCACACCACACCCCCACCCTCCCCATGCTCGCCCTCTGGCTAGCCCCGCTTTCTCTCTTCGGGCATTTCTCCCTTGTCAGGGACAGAGTGGGCGCCTCACCCTCTGGCAGGGCCGTGCTCATCTTGAGCACAGCCAGCAGGTTCTGCACGTCACTCTCAATGCTCTGGGCAACACCTGGGTACTGCGAGGGGAGGAAGGGGGATTGGCAGTCACTGCTCTGGGACAGCAGGGTGACCACCCCATCCTGCCCAGCCTCCCCACTCACCTGGATCTTCACAGCCACCTCTGTCCCATCCCTCAGCAAACCCCGGTGCACCTGCCCGATTGAGGCAGCAGCAAAGGGTACCTCCTCCAGGGAGGCCACCTTGGCCTGCCAATCCTTGCCCAGCTCCTCTTCGAGAACTCTCTGTGGGGAGTGGTCAAAACAATCATTTCACATTTCTGGGTGGCTGAGGTCACGCCCCATGCTGAGGGCCTGGTGTATTCACAACCTTGGGGAAGCTCTTGGCTGCTACCCCTCTGTGCAGGTGTGGAAACTGAAGCTCAGAGAGAAGCCTGCCCAGCTGCTCTCCTGAGCCCACACTTCCTAAGCTGTGCAGGTAGTTTTGGGAATCGCTTTGATTTTAGTTAAGATTGATAATAATCCTTTATTATACTCCTAACTATATATTATTACCTGAATATTAACATGATCAAGAAGAGCGTCCTATGGGCCAAGTCCTATTCAGAGAGGCAACAGCTACCAAGGATCACACAGTAGTGACCAGAACAGAGACTGAAGACTGCAACAGCTAGACTCTGGAGTCCACAGAACAGCCCGTGCCCTGGGCACTGACTCAGTGTCAGGTGGCACAATGGACTGTGCCAGTCTAGCTACAGATATTTCATTACAAAAAAAAAGTAATAATCACAGCTAAAACTTGTCTACCACTCAGGGTGTGACGGGGTAGTTCTAAGTGCTCTAGTATACAAATTACATACTAATTTACGTAACCCCATGACACAGGTGTGCCTATCAGTATTGTTATTTCCCAGATAAGGTAAACTGAGGCACAGAGAGATCAAAGCACATGTGTGACTGGCAGAGATGGGCTCTGAACCCTAACTATTGTGCTTTGCTGCCTTGACAGTGCTGAGTCCCGCCTGGGACTGAATAAAGTGCTCTGTATCCTCTCACCTAATCACAATGGTGTGTGTATGAGGTGTGTACTTTGGTGAAACCCATTTTACATATGGAGAGACTGAGGCCCAGGGACAGGGAGTAGGGCAATTAAGGGAGGGGCAGGTGTATGCTGAGCATCGAGCCCCCTTGCCAGCCCTTCCCACAGGCACTCACCAGCATCTGCCAGCGGGGCATGAAGTCAGCACTCTGGCGGACTCGCTCAAAAATGCGCTGCAGCTGGGGGCTGATGAAGCTGTTGTCTTGGGAGACAGCAGGACCAGGGGACAGTGAGGAGAGAGGAGGAGGGGTCCATGTGAGTATCTGAATTTGGGCTTGTTGGTGGGTGGGGATGGGGTGGAGGTCAAGTCAGGGGTCAGGAGCTGCCAGTCAAGCTGTACCCTGGATGCTGAGCATTTGGCCAACCTTGAGGGCAGCCCCCCGGACTGTACACAAGGTCTGCACGATCCGTTCAGCGTTGGCCTCTGACAGGAAAGGGCTGGAGCCCAGCTTGGAGCCGCCCTCTGGGGAGGAGAGAACAACCATTAGTATCACAATCAAAAAAATAATCAATAAGCACAGCACATGGCTATTAGAACAGCTAATATGAATGTATTATTATGGAGATACCAAGTGCTCACAAAGACAGGTTACACTGCTTATGGGAGGGTGTTGGCTCAAGTCTCTGGAAAATAGTTGGGACGTTTCTAATAAGGCACATGCCTAAACTCAATGTGCTTCCCCTCCCAGATGCTCACAGACACCTCTCACAAAAGAAGCCACACACGTGAGAATACACTGTCTGATTATATTGGTATTGTTTTCTTTTGGTTTTCTGTGATACTGGGAATTGAATCCAAGAGCTACCACTGACCTACATCCCCAGACCTTTATTATACTGTATTTTGAGATAGAGGCTTGCTAAATTGTGGAGGCTAGCCTGGAACTTTTAATCCTCCTGCCTCAGCCTCCTAAATTGCTGGGATTAGAGGCGTGTACCACCACACCTGGCTTCAGTCTTGTTCTAAACTGAATATGTACCCTCGCTTTTGTTTCAGGGCCCTGACTTGTTGAGGCATCTCACCCACAAATGCTATACATCTAGTTCCACAGACCCGACAGGCACTCCTACTCTTTTTAGCTTTTCTCTCCTGCTTAAAGTTAGGAACTCCCAATGGCTAACACCTTTTCTTGGATGGTGTGCTATTTATCAAAGCCCTGATTGTGGCTTTAGTCCTGTTCTGAACAGAATGACCCTAAAAGGGAAGAATATTATCATGACCCTCATTTTCAGATGAGGAAATTGCAGCTCAGGGGTGGCACCACTTACCCCAGGTCACTTAGCAAGGACCTGAACCCAGACAGTATGGCTCACTCACCTGAGGGCTGATGTCCTCCTGGCAGGGACTTTTTGGCTACCTCGGCCAGTGCTCCTAGCCCCAAGCTCACGGCCAGTCCTGGACAGGGAGAAAGGAGCCATAGTACCTGCTTACCTGAGGCCTCCCCTCCCTCTCTGCTCTAGGTCTCTCTTGAATGCTTGTCTCCCGACCCTTTATTGAGCTCTCTGCATCTCTGTCTCCAACTGAGGTTCTGACTCTCTCTTTGCTCGGATATGCCTTCTAGGTGATGCTCTCCCTTTCTTTTATCCTTCTCTGCCAAGTCTCTACCTCCCTCCTAGCAACTGGGAGCCCTGACTGCACATCAGAGTCATCTGCAGGGTTTTTGTACATTGGAGGCCCAGATTTACCTACCCCTGAGATTCTGATTAAACTGGTCTGAGATGCGGCCTGGGAATTTGCAGTTTTTTAAGCACCCCAGCTGATTCTAGTGTTCACCTAGGGTTAAGAATGCCCTGGAATGAGGCGACTCCTGTTTCATCGCCCACACCTCTTCACGTTTGTCTCCCCTTTACTGTGGCAGTTATTTCTCCATCTCTACCCCTTCCTCCACATCTTTCTAGGTCTCTTCTCTGTTCCTCCCTTTCATGTTCTCTCTCCAGCTCTGATTTCTTCTGCTTCCTCTCCTTATCTACATGACATCTTGAATCTCTGTGCCTCTTTAACTGTCACCATTACTGTAAATCATTGCGGCTGGCATTTTCTGAGTGCTTGCTACAAACCAAGTACTGTTTTCAGTACCTCATATGCATTAAATCATTTCATCCTCTCACCTCTGGAAAAATGTTTTACAGAAAAACTTCTGTTTTACAGAAAAGGGAATTGAAGCTCAGAGAAGTTAAGTAACTTGCCCAAAGTGACAAGGTGAGGATGCAGAAGAGTCACCCTTGGAACCATCGGTAGCCTGGTGCCAAAACTCTAATCAGTGCACTTGACTGC